AGTATTCCCTCCTCTTCTATTTTTTGGAAAACTTTAAGGAGAATGGGTATTATGTCTTCTCTGTATGTCTGATAAAATTCCAAGGTAAATCCTTCTGGCTCGGGGGTTTTGTTCCTGGGTAGTTTTTTGATTACCGCTTCAATTTCTCTGCTGGTAATTGGTTTGTTTAGATTTTCTGTTTCTTCCTTGGTCAGTCTTGGAAGGTTGTATTTTTCTAGGAAGTTGTCCATTTCTTCTAGGTTTTTCGCTTCTGTGTTCTTTTTAAGCCACTTTCAGAGTCTAACATTCTGGGAAGTAAGATTTAATGATGAATGGACCCAGATATCTTTTGAAGAAATTAGTGTAGTGTGAGTTTGGTAGCAACATAATCCTTATGAGGCTCTGAGTTAATTACATCCTAATACTAATGAAACCTTAAACATACAGGTCATAACTTGCTTTACATTTTTTTTTGTCTGTTTTAGGATCTCAATGGATATTATAAAAGGCAACTTAGATGGAATTTCAAAACCAGCCTCAAATTCAAGAACACGTCCTGGTAGCAGAGGTTCAAATGCTTCTTTGGAAGTACTTTCATCAGAACCAGCATCCTTCAAGGTAAATATTGTTTCTTTCCTTACCTTCTCCTCCTTTCTTTTGTTTTAAAATTTTCAGATGTGGCTGATTTGTTCATAGTTGTACTTTGTTAATGCTCATTTGTTGACTTTTTCATAAAGTTTTGTGTTTCAATATCTATGCCACTTTTGTCTCTTACTATGAAAAAAGTTAAGTAATTAAAAAAATGTAGTTTGGGTAACAGCCATGTGACTTACGTTTATCAGTGTATTATGTGACTATGACTGCCTTTTGCTTACTTTGGTAGTCTCTTTTTCATTTCTTAAAATATCTGAACTTGATGATTTTTAAAATATCAGTTTTTAATCTAAGATATGGGACAATTTATTTGTTTTAAGGTTATTTGTTTTGAGGTTTGAACAAAAATTTTGAACTTCTTGGTGGAAAAAATCTTTGTAAGTTTACAAATGCATCTCCATTTATTCTTTTAGTTTAAGGACTAGACTTTGCATTATGAAACTCTTAGAGTTTTGTCTATCATGATTTAGTACAGGAAATGGGAAGCGCTGTATGTGTTTCTAGCAGAAAGGGATTGAATACAAGAAATCCAGTTCCTCAAAGCAATGGAAGGCCACCAGCAATGGAAGGCCAGCTGGGAAGGAAATCATGGGAAGAGGTTTGTCTCGGGTTACTGGTTCCCAGATCACACCACATGGCTGAAATTCAGAGATCAGAAAGCTGCTGCTGCTGCATCTGGCACTGCACAAGCCCCTCAGGACCACAAAACTGGTGACTAGATATGCAGAGATGACTGCCTTTGATTTTTCTTGGTGATGCCCTTTCAGGAGCTTAGGAAGATGGCTTCTGCCCCACTTCTGCTTTCTAATTTTTGTGCAGATGTATCTAAATGGATGATCTTAACATGCACCCAGAACTCTAGCTGCAGGCAGCTTTGTAAAATACAGTTTCTGTCTTAGGTCTCTGTTTTGTTTATAATCTAATCCTGCATCATTACTATACTGTGTGTTAGACTCTTGTAGCTGTGTAATAAGTCTTGATATCTCCTAGGATGGGTCTCCCTATCTTAATATTTTCTAGGACTGTCTTTATTCTTAACTTTCTGTTCTTTTATATTTTAGATCAGTTTTTCAGGTTCTGTGAAAATTACTGTTGGGGTTTTGAATGAAATTGCTTTGCATTTATAGATTAATTTGGAGAGGATTTCTAACTTTATGATATTAAATTTTCCCATCTATTAACACTGACACAGGTAGTATAAGAAAGAATTCAAAAATTTGAAAGTATGTAAAAAACTGCCCAGAATGAAGCACAGAGAAAAACAGTGAACAGAAAATATTAAAAATAATAACACATCTCATTGACTTTTTTGTTTCTAATATAAACATTTTACATACTTTAAAATTTACTCTTTTTTGATGTATAGCTGAGTCTGGCAAATGTGCAGCATGATACCATCTCAATCAAGATATAAAATATTTCTAGCACTCTTCAAAACATTATTCCCTTGTAATCAATCTCCCCTACCTTTAAAATCTGGAAACTCTTGATCTGTTCTCTGTCCCTATAAGGTTTCCTTTTCCAGGAGGTCATATGAATGGGATTAAAAAGTGTGTAGCTTTTGAGTCTAGCTTTGACTAGGGGTATAGTGCATTTCAGACTCATCCGTGTTGTTGCATTTATCAATAGTTAACATAAGGTTCCTTGTATGGGTGTATCATGGTTTGCTTATCCATTCCTCAGGTGAGGAACATTTGGATCATTTTCAGGTTATGGTGATTATGAACAAAGCTGCTATAAACATTTGCTCACTGAATTTTTTTTGAGGGAAATATGTTTTTATTTCTCTTGGATACCTAGGAATAGGATTTCTGGGTTGTATGGTATAAGTGTTTGTTTAACTGTAAGAACTGTCAAACTGTTTTCTGTTCCCACCAGAAATATATAAGAGTTCCACCTGTTTTGCCTCCTCACCAGAAGTTGATATTGTCAGTTTCTTAAAAAAGCCATTATAGTAGGTTAAGTAGTATCTCATTGTGGTTCTAACTTACACTTGCCTGGTGAATAATAATGTTGAGAATGTCTTCAAGTGCTTATTTGCAAACCACATGACCTTTTTTTGAAAATTATATGTTCAGATTTCTTGCTTAACTTTTAAAAATTGTGTTTGTTTTCTTACTGTTGACTTTTGAGAGTTCTTTATATATTATGGATAGAGTCTTCTGTCAGATACATGATTTGCAAATATTTCTCCCAATCTGTAACTTGACTTTTCCTTCTTTTAACTGTGTCTTTTGAAGAGCAGACAATTTTAATTTTGTTAAGTTCAATTTATCATTTTTTTTTCTTTTGAGGGTTGTTTTTTGTTGTATCTAAAAACTCTTTCTGACTGAAGGTTCTAAAGATTTTCTCCCATGTGTTCTTCTGAAAGCTTTATAGTTCTGTGTTTTAAATTCAGATTCCTGATGCCTCTCTTGTTGTGTTGCCAGTGAGAAGGCTGTGTAAACCCAATGTTCATTCCAGTGTGGGTTGTTCAGTTTAGATATTTTTCTCTGGTTGCTTTAATTTTTTCTCTTTGTCTTAGTATCTACTATTACCCACTTAGGTATGGATTTCTTAAATTTATCCTTCTGGGAGACTAGTACTTCTTTAATTTGAGGATTTGTGTGTTTCATTTATTTTGAAAAGCTCTTAGTCATTGTGTTTTCACACTTCAAATATTGCCTACATTAAAAAAATTTGTATCATTCCAAGTCATATTAAATGTCTTTGAAACTTTCCCTTCTATTCTTCATATCTCTTATCTTCTTTTTAATATTTTCTATTCATTTATTTCTCTATGCTTTATCCTAGGAAATTTTTTAACACGTATTTAAAATTTTTTGGGCTATTTCTTATACTATATCAAATTGGCTCTTTAATCCATCCATGAATTCTTAAATTTAATGATACATTTTTAATTTCTGAAAGTTCTTTCTAGTGTATTTCCAAATACATCTGTTTTTTACATTATTTTGATCTTAAGTTCTTTGATTCTCTTTCCCACACCCATTAAAAACACTTATATGATTATCAGCTTTTTAACATCTTAAATTCTTTTGTTTCTTGCGATTCTTGCTTATTGTTGGTATTGTATGAACCTGGTCATGCTTTTGAACTTTGGGAATGTAAGGTTTAGTTTTGGGATTTATGGGGCCTGGTTTGAAACTGTGTCTCCAAGAGCAGGTTTCTGTTTGCTTCTACCAGATGCCTCAGTGATACCAACAGTATGAATTTTTTCTGTGTGTGTATATGTTAATTTTTCAACTGTAGGTTGGACTGGTGAGGTCCTTTCCTCATATGAATAATAAATCCTGGAATTTTGACTAGTTTTATTGCTCAAGCTAGTTTCCTCATGTATTCAAAGGGGTAGTAATACTATCTACCTCATAGGCATGTATTGAGGATAAAATGAAAGAAAATATCTAAAGTTTTTATAATAGTGACTAGCACCTAGTAAGTATTCAGTGTATCTTAGCTACTGGCCTCAATTCTTTAACTCAGTTGATCAGTCCTTCTTATGTTATTCACAGCATTCAGCATACAGTCTGGCACATAGTAAGTATTCACAAAATATGTGTTCAGTAGATTTAGCATGAAGATTTTCCCATTTTATATGTGTAGGATAATATATAAAGACCTGACAAATATTACAGTAGCACAGAATTAGTATTTCTGCTTACCTATTTCTGAGTGATGATTTTTTAAACCAGCAACCTCACAATATTGACACATATGTTTTAATACATAGATTAATGTGTTAATCTTACTTCAGTCAAGATTTATATAAAAGAAAAATATCAGCAATATCTTCAAGTAAGATTTTATATGAATCCACTAAGCTATAGGTCAAATTCTAGTATATTTATTAGCCAACAGGGACTTTGATATTTATAACAAAAGCAAATTTTCCTGAAAGTTGTGATTTGTGTTAATCCATTTCATAGCAAATCAGCAAGGTTCACCTCAGGTTGGGGAAGAAAGCCACAGATCTACTGCATGCTGACTGTTGATGGCAAGTAATTCATAAACCTTATGTATTGCCTGAATAATAAACCCTGGAATTTTGACTAGTTTTATTGCTCAAGTTTGTCTTTTATTAATTCTCACCCCAAATTTCTATATGGCAGAAAATAAGCCTAAAATCATAGAGTTTTAATGAAATTTCTGTAGTGATACTCTTTTTTTCATTCTAAAAATGTCTAAAGATGAATCTCATTTTAAAATCCAGTATGTTCCTAATATCTAATCATGTCTTATATATTCTGTGTTCCCTGATATAAAAACCATTCTCGGAGGAAGGGTAACTAAATTCATTTATGCCAAGACAGTAAGTGACTGACAGGGCTCATGTGACCTCTCTGAGTAATTTCGCATTTTCACAGAATTGGATAGCTTTAAGGATATACTGGATATTATGGATTTTCAGGCTTTACCTGGTCTTTGAGAGAGTTATGTTTTTGAATGGGGAATTCTCTTTAACACCTCCAAGATTCCATAAAGTAGGCATTGTTTTGCCTGTTTATAAATTGGGCCTCCACTAATTTCATTCTGTTTTGGATCTGTTTTCTTGTTCAATCGGGGGAGTAATACCTCTACTACAGGGTTTTTATAAGTAGTCAACAGGGTGGTGTGTAGGCATGTAGACAGGACCTTGTAAGTCCAATGCCTCAGGGGATGTTGGCTGTGATGTCATAGCATTGACTCAGCTCAGTTCCACTGGGGCTCAGTTCCTGGCTCAGGGAAACAGAGATGCTCGTGCAGTCCTGTATCCCAAGTCATTGCAAATGATTCAGGGCCTATAGAACATTATATATTGCCTGAATAATGAAACTTGGAATTTTGTATGTTTAATTCTTAGCACCACCCACGTTCTACCCTGGCGAGTCCCAAGAGGGGGCAGATTACAGTGGTAGAGAGTTGCCCCTGTCGTTGCAGAGAACATCAAACCCTCCAAGGGCTGAGCCCCGAAGCACTTGAGCAGACAGGCCCTCGGTGGAGAGAGAAAGCTCGTCTCGGAAGTGGCTGGCTCTCCCTTCCTGACATTTTGCCTCTCCCCTGGGTTTTGTTTGCTTCTACCATGACTCTCACTGCCATGAGCAGCCCTCAGGGCCCTATGATTCCTGTGTTTCCCTGGTGCAGCCATAGATGTCTTTTCTTGTTCTCTCTCAGGAACACACAGCTGCACAAACTGGTGTTTTCAAAATGAACTTTGCTAAAATGGAAAGAGGAAGCAAAATGAAATAGAACAGCTGTGAATAGCGTAAAAATAATCACCAAAGCATGTGGTTCTGATTTGAAGGATCTCATTAGAAGCATCTCAATTCACAACACTCACTTTTCAACCCTTCAATAGCCACCTGTGGCTACTGGTTATTGTCTTGAACAGCATAGCTCCAGACCTTTGACTCTCCATCTGAACTCATGCTCAGGGAGCAGGGAAGCACATGCCTCATTCCTAGAGTCTGGCAGAGACCTTCTCTTCAGGATTGGGTCCCGAGCTTTCTCTATTATTGCTAGAAATTACTGGAGAATGGTGCATATTTCTTTGGTGCAAATATTATTAAATTTAATTGTTTAGTTGAATTACACTTAAAAAGTGTTATATTTCTAGAATAATTTAATGCTAGTGTCTGTCCTCACATGTATTTACATTACTGTTAAAGTAGTCTAGAAATTTTAAGTTAAAAAATGCATTATTTTTGAAAACTGTTGCTTTGGAAATAATTTTTAGGTTGATACTGCAATCAAGTTGAACTCTGATAGAGATGGCCACTCAGAAAGCAGTAATACAGAGGAAAGGAGAAACAATAATGATGATAAAAGGGAAAACTACTCTGAGAAAATAGAGTTGTCTGAGGAGGGGTCAGATGATGATCTGATCGTGGTTCAACATCAGATAATCCCTGAATGTTCAGGTAGGGTAATCAAAAGTGATTGGCTCATGATAATTATAGATGTTGTAGTTAAAATAGAATTATATGTGCTTTTTATCAGCTAAGTAGAAATTTAAAAAAATTTCATTTCAAAATGTATGTCAAAAAAGACATACATTTTGTAAGCAAGCAATCACCAGGTTTTATTTAGAAGGATATTGAGTTCTTAAATACACTTAGAAAAATAATAAAACATGCTATTTAATAAAACTGTTATTGTGGTCCTTCTACCTTAACCAAGTAGGAAGTTTATCTACATTAATGATGTGATTTTAAAATCTTTTTAATGACAAAATTGCACAATAAAATGTATCCTGAAATTTATAAATGCCTTTTGGGGGATAATCCCATCTGATCTTAATCACATTTAGATTTTAAATGGCTCCTTTCTTTCATGGTTATTAAATTCTTACTGGTCAGAACAAATTAGAATGGCAGGTATCAAAGTGCCGCCTGCAGAGCCCTGGTGGGTCCTTAAGACTCTCAGGAGCTCTTCAAAGTGAAAACTGCTTTTATAATAGTACTGATATATCAGTACTATAATTAATCATAATATTGAAATAATGCTATTTGCCTTTTTGCCCACTGAATGGACACGTGCACTGATGGTACAAAAGTGATCGCAGGTAAGATTTCTGGTGCTTTAGCCTGAAACAAGGCCATGGCACCAGTCGTACTAGCAGTCATCATATTCTTCATGGTCAGGCACTGGTGAGAAAAAGAAATAGCCAGTGCTGTTCAAGAATGTGCTTGATGGGACAGTAAAAATTAGTAATTTTATTAAGTCTTGACTTATGAACATACATCTTTTTAATATCCTGTGTGGAAAACTGAGAGGTCCATATAAAGCAATTCTGCTGTACACCAAAATGTGAAGTTTGTGTAGAGGAAGAGTGCTTGTGTGATATTTTGAGAGCCGAGCTGGCTACTTTTTAAATGGAAAAACATTTTTATTTGAAACAATCACCATTTTTATCATTTTATTGGAAAGAATTTACTTGAAAGTTTGACCAACAAACTATTATCATTCAGACTTGGATATTTGGCAACAGTCTGTTACAAGGAAAACAATGGACAGTATTTTTTGTCAGTAAAAAAAATTTGAGCTTTCACTGAAATTTGGAATTGTGGAAAACTTGTATATGTCAGTGTGAGCATGACAGTATCTCAATACTAGATTTTTCTGATAAACATTGGTGGTAATATTAACACGTGATTTTTTTGATATTGTGTTACATTTTGTGTTACATTTTGCAACACATTTGATGTACCTAAAATGTTATTGAATTGTAGATAACTGATAGTAATTTATTTGAAATTAGGAACTGTTTAGAACTTTCACATTCAAGTTTTAACTTATGATTAATGATATGTGTTACATTTTGAAATTCTGCAAAATTCATTGAACCACTACATTTTGAAGACCAATGTAGGGCAAAAGATCCATTCAATACAAAAGATATGCCCATGGATTTTAATGGAATAAATTAAAAAAAAAACTCACTGGTATGATTACAGACTTCACATTACAACTAACCTTTAAGAAACTACTCCTTTTCAAGTTTTGATGTTGTATCAAAGAATATCCACAACTATCCGAAAAGGCTATTAAATTTCTCTCCCTCTTTGCAACTACATATCCCTGTGAGGCCAGATTTTCTTCATATATACTTTAATATGATTACAGACTTCACATTACAACTAACCTTTAAGAAACTACTCCTTTTCAAGTTTTGATGTTGTATCAAAGAATATCCACAACTATCCGAAAAGGCTATTAAATTTCTCTCCCTCTTTGCAACTACATATCCCTGTGAGGCCAGATTTTCTTCATATATACTTTAACTGAAACCACAGATTGCAACTGATGGACTGTAGAAGCAGATGAAAATCTAGTTGTCTTCTGTTAAGCCAGATACTAAAAATTTAAAACAATGCAATTCTTAATACTTTGAAAAATACAGTTTTCTGTTATAAAGATGTTATATTTATGTTAACATGTAATTAGTAATGACATGCTTATTATTTTAAAAAGAATAAATACAATATTTTCCAGTTTTGATTTCTAATATGGTAATTATCAATAAATAGATAAAACACATAAAAGCTACTTTGGATTCTCAATCATTTTTAAAGCTATAATGGGAAGCTGAGATCATAAGTTTTGAAAAACTGCTAATTTAGAATATGCTTAGAGTGAGATCAGCTCCCAAAGTTATAGTTATGAGGAAACAATATATAGTTGATATTAGCTACTGACACAGTTTACACTGTTTGCTAATATTAGTAGTAACTGCATGAGTTACTACAAAATGCCTGCTATATGAACCACCTATGTACATGGAGCCTGAGAATGTTAGGATTGGCAGTTGGGAATTAGAACTAAAGACTATTGCATTTGAAGTAGGTAAGCAGTAAGATTTGTAGAGATAGCATAAGGTCATAGTGAAGCGTGATCAATTAGATCAGTATTAATTAATAAGATCATAAGTTTATTCTCTTTAAAAATATCTCTTTCTTAAAGAGGAAATTATATACATTATGGGGAAATATCAATGGACTCTGGATTTTCAAAAGTTGCAAAATTTGGCCTTTCTTAGCATAATGTGCCATTTCTAATGATCTGCCTGGGGTTGCTGAGACTTCAGTATCTGAGCATTTATGCTTCTTGCCAGATTTTCATCTTTTATTAGAGGAAGTATTGCTTCGTGATGAAGAGTTTTGGCTCTGGCGTCAGATCTGGGTGGGAACTGACTGCCATTTTCTAGTTATATCATCTTGGTCATGTATGTAACTCAGTTACAAATCAGCCTTGGTTTATTAATTTGTAAAATGGGGACAATAACTATACCACCTTACAGGGTTATGATGAGGACTAAATAAAATGATGCCTGTAAATAAAGCACGTAACATTGTGCCTTAGCAGATAACTCTATAAATGTTAGCTGCTATTACTAACACTATCATTAATCATAAGTTAAAACTTGAATGTGAAAGTTCTAAACAGTTCCTAATTTCAAATAAATTACTATCAATTATCTACAATTCAATAACATTTTTAGGTACATCAAGAAACTAGAACAAATGGGAGGGGCATAGATAGAAGGTGTCTAGTTACATGGAGTACTTCTCTGAATTTGTTTCTGTATGTTGGAACCACTTAAGTCACTTATATGCTACATTTTACTGTGACAATTTGTGCAGACACCTTCTCTTTCAGGTAGTATGAAGCAGCTTGAGGATAGGGTCTTTGTCTTATTCTTTATTTGTTACCTATGAATATAGAAGGTAATGTAGGATAAAGAACTTGGGATTTAAAATCATATGAGACCCACTTGTGAGTTCAGCGCTATAATTTTTTAGCTGTTTGAAAGGACCCAGTTATTGCAACTGTAAAAGAGAGATAAATGTCAATTTCACAGGGTTTGTAGATAATTATATGAAAAAATATACATGAAAACACCTTGTAAATCAAGATATATGACACCATTGGTAGTTATTACCATCAGCCACAAACATTTGTTGAATGAAAGAACAAATAGTAAAAACACAACAAAGCTTTATTGTTTTACTAAACTTCAAGCTCATTCCTACTTTCAATACAATACAGATGAACCTGAGTTAAAAGAAATAGATTCTCAACTTCAAGATGCTATTCAGAAGATGAAGAGGCTTGATACGATATTGGTGAAGAGACAAAATAGAGAAAGAGAAATTAAGAAGCAAGGGCTAGAAATGAGAATAAAGCTGTGGGAAGAACTTAAGGTAAAAATGGTATAACCATATGGCTGACTGTAGTAAATAATTTCCTCTAAGATGCTTAAGAAAGTATAGACTGTGGTAGTGTTAATGTAGTCTGCCTTTATTGATTTATTTTGTGGAGGTAGGACAGTGGTATGCAAATGTGTGTATGGGGGGAGGTGAGGGAGAGAGTTTTCTGGAACTGGTGATGGTACTTTTGCTTTGTTCCCAATTTCAGGCTGTGCAGTACCGTGCATATTCCTCACGGGCAGCACTGTAGGCTACTTTCCAGTGTCAGGCTAGGGCAGCACTGTAGGCCTCTTTCCAGTGTCAGGCTAAGACTCCTCCATCTCTGGGATAGAAGGAGATGTGCTGCCTACTTTCATCAAGTCTGTATGCCTCTTTTTTCTACAGCAAAGTTATGGTTTAGAGGTAAATTCACAAATATGCAAAAATGTAACCCCCTGGTTACCATTATTATTTGAGTTATCTTTTGTGACCAACAAGTGGGTGAGTTTACTGTTTCATATGATGGTCAAGATCTCTTTGGGAAACTGAGAAGTGCTTGTGGTCTGTGACCATGCTCTCTTTGCTTCTGTCTATGAATTTCTAGGGCTCCATTAACTTTTCTTGGCCTTCTTGGACATTTTATTCTTTGTAGTATTGAGGAGTGGAAATAGACCAGCTGTTGGCACTGACTTGATGTATAGCCATTGGCTTTTATTTGAACTTTGTCCTGCAAAGGAGAGCACTTTTAAGTAAGGAACATTATAATAACAGATTGTTTTTTTTTGATAAATTTCTCCTTGAGTAGTTGACTGACTTCTGAGATTTCCTAGATGATAATATGAATTAATAATGGGGTAATTAAGAATACATTCTTACAAGGATTCCAGGAAGACCAATGGGATGGAAAGAAAACAACATACAAATATAATGCTTTGAACTAGAGAAATAATTGTGTAAGTCTTTTTTAAAAGAAAAATGTGCCTATTGTTCCTTTTGAGTCTCAAAGCAAAATTGTTTTTGTGTATGTGGGAAAAACTCAAGGTAAGAATCATATAACCATATACTGACATGAATTATGTCATATGAACATGAAACAAGGATTCGAATTAGAAACATAATAAAATACATTATCTTGAAAGGTCTGAAAATGTAATTTGGTGATGTACCTCTAGGTTACTGATTGGTTATAGAAATATTAAATAGAAACTAAGGACACTTTAAGCAAGGTAATTTTCATAAAATGGTACACATGTATTACTGTTCTGTCTGGGAATACTCATTGACAGAACTTTGTGGAAATAGGAAACATTAACAAATTTCCTAATTTAAGGAATAAAAATGACCTGAGCCTTATTGTTTGTATGTACACAATAGGAAATCAGGCTGAAATTTTAAGAAATATCAATGAGTTTAGTTGCCTTCTTTTCCCATGTTTAAACTTTTATTTTTCATTAGTCTGCAAAAAATAGTGAAGCTTTGGAAAGTAATGAGGAGATGGAAAATACAAAAAAGTTTCTAGCTTTGACTGCTGCATCAGAAGAAGCTGTTGGTGAGTGACTGTATTCATCTTTTTTTCAGAGTCATAGAATATTTAGATTTAAGTAAAATTCCCTAATCTGTTATTTATTTATTTTTCTTTGTGAAGTTAACACTTCTTTAATCCTATGTTAGGTAGGAATATATGGAACTGACCTGAACTTAGGTATGTTTCAGAGTCTGGCACAGTTTGAGCAAGGGTGGGGGACAGGGCAGTGACAAATCGGAAAATAGGCATAGATGTCTTTGCCTTTACTTCCTGTGCCTCTTAGGTGCCTCTAGTCACTGATTTATGCAGTCAGTTCCTTAACTGCCTAGAGTCCTCCCACAAGGTGTCTCTCTCAGGCCTTTGCAACCCTTTCATAAAAATCCATTCCTGTTTTGTCCTATTTTCTGTTCTCTCACAGTCTTGCTTTTGCGACGAGCTAATTAATTCTGCATGTTTCTGCTCATCCTCTGTGTATATGCCCATTTGTAACTCTTCTTCTCATCCTCTTTATCCTCCCCTTTTTTCTCCCCTATCTCCTTCTTCTCCCTTTTCCTTCTCTTCCTCCTCCTCCTCCTCCTTCTATAGACATATTACAGAGTCATGTAATCTTTAACCTACTTACACAGTGGTGAAAATCTTAGGGATTGGGAAGCAGTTGTTATTTTTTGGCAGGATGCTTTTGAAATCCTTTAACCTACATTGCATAGGTGGTCATTTAGTACTGCCCAGGCACTAGACTGACTCAGCAGGGGCTTCTGATTTCTCTGGGAATCCAGGGATCCATTTGTCTTTTTACAAGATGAATGTCTAACATTGTAGAACCCTGAGAACCTGACAGAGCTCCCACAACTGTTTAGCATGTACTTTGATGTGGATGACATACCTTCAGGTTTGTTCCTGTCTGGAGCCAGCACTGAGAGCTCCAAGCTGCTTGGGCCTGAGGGATTTGGATTTAGAATGCATCAAATGTTTCTCCTCAAGAAGGTGGGTGTCCCATCTGGGTTGCCTTTTCTATGATAAGGACTTCTGAAAAAAATGCATGTTTGCATTAGGCACAGGAACAGACCCATAGATCAGTGGAACAGAATAGAAAGCCTATAAATAAACCCAAGCATATATGGTCAGTTAATATATGATAAAGGAGCCATGGATATACAATGGGGAAATGACAGCCTCTTCAACAGCTGATGTTGGCAAAACCAGACAGCTACATGTAAACAGAATGAAACTGCATTATTGTCTAACTTAATACACAAAAGTAAACTCGAAATGGATCAAAGACTTGAATGTAAGTCATGAAACCATAAGACTCTTAGAAGAAAACATAGGCAAAAATCTCCTGAATATAAACATGAGCAACTTTTTTATGAACACATTTTGGGCAAGGGAAACAAAAGCAAAAATGAACAAATGGGACTACATCAAACTAAAAAGCTTCTGTACAGAAAAGGATACCATCAGTAGAACAAAAAGGCATCCTACAGTATGGGGGAATATATTCATAAATGACATATCTGACAAGGGTGAATATCCAAAATATATAAAGAACTTATACGCCTCAACACCCAAAAAGCTAATAACCCAATTAAAAAACCCAAATAAAAAAGTGGAGGATCTGACCAGACACTTCTCCAAAGAAGAAATTCAGATGGCCAACAGGCACATGGAAAGATGCTCCACATTGCTAATTATCATGAAAATGCAAATTAAAACCACAAGGAGATATCACCTCACATCAGTTAGAATGGCCAAGATAGAAAAGACTAGGAACAACAAATGTTGGTGAGGATGAGGAGAAAGGGAAACCCTCCTACACTGCTGGTGGGAATGTAAATTAGTTTAACCATTGTGGAAAGCAATGTGGAGGTTCCTCAAAAAACTAAAAATAGAAATACCATTTGACTCAGGAATTCCCCTACTAGGAATTTATCCAAAGAAAACAACTTCTCAGATTCAAAAAGACATATACACCCCTATGTTTATTGCAGCACCAATTACAATAGCCAAGATATGGAAACAACCTAAGTGTCCATCAGTAGATGAATGAATAAAGAAGATGTGGTACATATACACAATGGAATATTATTATAAGAAGAAAATAAATCCTACCATTTGCAACAACATGGATGGAGCTAGAGGGTATTACGTTCAGTGAAATAAGCCAGGTGGAGAAAGACAAGTACCAAATTATTTCCCTCATTTGTGGAGTGTAACTACAAAGCAAAACTGAAGGAACAAAACAGCAGCAGACTGACAGACTCCAAGAAGGGACTAGTGGTTACCAAAGGGGTGGGATTGGGGAGGATGGGGTGGGAGGGAGGGAGAAGGGGATTGAGGGCTATTGTGATTGGCACACATGGTATCTGGGGGGTCATGGTGAAGATAGTGTAACAGAGTAGACAAGTAGTGACTCTGTGTGGCATCTTGCTACTCTGTTGGACAGTGACTGTGGTGGGGTGTGTGTGGGGGGGACTCGATAATATGGGTGAATGTAGTGATCACAATGTTGCTTAACAATGTTGCTTACAATCTTCATAAGATTGTATATCAATGATACCTTAATAAAAATAATCAATAAAAAATAGACAGAGGGCAAAGAGACACAGAAGAGAAGGCAATGTGAAGATGAGGGCAAAGATTGTAACCATGGGTCTCAGACAAGGAACGCTGGAAGCTGTCAAAAAACGGGGGTCAAGGAATGAATGGAATCTCACCTAGAGCCCCTGGAGGAAGCATGGCTTTACTGACACCTTGATTTTGGACTTTTGGCTTCCAGAACTGTGAGAAGACAAATTTCTGTTGTTTAAGTGACCAAGTTTGCATAATTTGTGACAGCAGCTACAGGAAACTAACACACCTTTGATTAAATCCTACAAGAGAAATTACTTAGTCAAGGGGTTTTTTAAAAGATTTTTATCCATATTGACTTATTGAAATCTTATGCCAATTTAGACCCCTACCAACATTGTACTTGAGTATTGTTTTCCTATACTCACAGCAGCAATGAATTTTGTAATAGTTTTAAAGATTGTTTATTTAAAATGGAATCAATATATCTCTTTGATAATCAGGGAGGTTGAATATTTATTCTTTTGTTTAGCCATTTTGTGAATTACTCGTTCTTTTCTAAAGTGAGATGTTCTTTTTTATTGATTTGAAGTACTCCTTTATGTATTAAGGATACTAATTTTTCATCATAAATATTAAAAACATTTTTTCTAACTTACTTTTCTTTAGTTTTGTGGTTTCCTTGCTCTCCTGAAGTTAATATTCTCCCCCCCTCAGTTTGTTAGCTAGTGTCAGAAGTTCATAAATAACAGAAGTAAAACCAGTGAATCTCCAAAATAGCAATTAGTAAAAGTTTATTGTGTGCATATTGAAAGGACAGTTTGCAAACCAAGAGCACTCAAACCAAAACATGAAATGAAGCTCAGTGGCACATTTTTATAAAGCAGAGTGCTTACCTCATATCAGTTTTGGAAAATAGTTTAAGTTTTACTTAGGACTTTCAGAGGTGTGAGCAAAAAATGAATGAGGTCAAGTTAGCCTTGCAAAATAAGCTAAATTAAACTTTTAATTCTCTGTTTTTGTCTGCTTGGGGAATTTTCAAGGCTGGTCTCTGGTTGTTTTTCATTTTAACTGTAGTTATCTCAAGACCTTTTTTGAATAATCCATCATTTCCCTCATTACTTGAAATGCTGAATGTATTGTGCATTGATTGGACCTATTTCTAAATTTTCTGTTCTATTCTGTTAATATTTCTGTGCTGATGTTAGTATTGCACTGTTTTGATCATTGTAGCTTTGTAATACACTTTATTAGGGCAGGTATATTGTTGTCTTTTTCAAAAAGTATTTTTGAAATGACATGTTTTTATCAAGCTTCTTTTCCTCTGTGAGAGTTTTTTAGCAATGACCATTATTTATGAAAAAGACTGCAAAGCACCTTTAAACCTATAGATTATAAAATGCTTTTTTACTAATTGTATCTAAAGACTATTGTCGAAGATAATCTATCTTGAAAAGTACAACTTCTTATATTTTCTTTCATGTCTATCAAATTTATACCTTCATAGAATCAAGACTCACTTACTCCAAATACAAAACATGGGCAGTGTCAGGAATGTGATTCTGGATGTTATAGTATAGTGTCTCAGCATCTGTATTTTAGGAAGCAGGAGCTCAATGCTGATTCCTGTAATGGATGAGGCATTTCTAAGAGGCCACACCTGCTTGTGGTTGACTCTGGAGTAAGAACAGTGAAACATGCCACTCTGTAAGGGAATCCATGGTGGCCTTTTGACATTGACCTTTTCAGTCACAGAGTCACTCACTACCAAATGAACTTTTGGCCTTCTAGGACAAGACTTTTGTTATCAGTTTCCCTTTCTTCAAAATCAAATCAGAACTATCAAATATTTAATTTTCAAAACTCATGGCATGTATGTATTTGGCTTAAACCTGTAGAGTTCTGTTATAGCTCTAGAGTCACATGATTACTGCAGGCCCTGTAGACATTTACAGTAATTCTAGATTACTCCTAATGTTCTAACATGGAAATTAGTTGGACTTGATGAGCTGAAAGCTGGAGTTAACAGGGGCTTGAAAGCTATGTTCAGAGAGAATCATTACTTTAAACATCAAGTTAGAGTTTCAATTTTTAGATTTTGAATTCTTAGCTAATTGTTATGTATTGGCAGTGTTTATTGTGTGCAGCACAGATAAGATGTAGAAGTAGAGTTGATGTCAAAGAAAATAGGAATAGAAGACACTGTTAGGAGAACTGAATGTTGCCCTTCACTCTTGCTACCATCCGTCTTGATTTAGCTCACCTCTGACCAGTGCACCAAAATAAAGAGACATTATTGTATTCCCTCATATTTTTTTAGAATTTGTTTTTTTTAATGACTGGTCTTTTATAGAAGGCAAAATCCTTAATGAAATTTCCTACAGTCTCTTTACATCATAGGCATATATTTAGCAGTCACACATACCTAATTTTTAAAAATCTTAGAAAACAGAAGA